CGCGCGCAAGGGCGTTCGAGTGATTTCGGCATGCAGTCGAATGATTTCGACATGCGCGCGCGACAGGCCCGTTTGGTAGCAGATTGTAAACATGACGGAAAACCGATGGCTGTCTATCGAATCTGCAAGAGCGCGAGCGCGCCAGCTTTTTTTTGAGAGCCCTTGTTGCGAAACCATGTGTTTCACCCTGCCGAACTTGAAATTGTCCACTCCACTGCTCGCGCAATCATCCCACCCATCCACCCGCGCACTGGTTTGCAAAACCCATGCGGCAGCGATTGCGAGGACTGCTTGGCGCTACCTGGCGCATCGCCGCGGCCGCGTTGGCGCACAGGCTCGCGCGCAAAGCGGCCAACCAGTCTGACGTGACCGACGCGGCCGCGGTGGCTCTGACCACTGGGGACTTCCCAGCGCGTCTCGCAGGCCGCGCTGACGCGCGGGCATTTCGGTGCGAGCCCGGGACTCGGGCGGGCGCGGTATCATGGCGACGTCGACAGCGTCAGACAAGATGATGATAGTAGCGGTGCTGGTGGCGATGATGACAATGACGACGGCAAGGCCAGTGACGGCGCCGATGCTGATCGCACCGATGACGATGATAGTATCCTTGCGTCGGTGGTGACGACTGCGATCGCAATTTCGACATGCGCGAACGGCAGATGCGCGCGAATGGCCCGCATGGTTTTTGTGTGCCCAGGATCTTGGGACAGCACGCGCGCAAGGGCGTCCAGACGATTTCGACATGCGCGCGCGAGGCCCGTCTTGTAGCACTTGATGACAATATTGAACAACCGATTGTCTTCATAAGAATTCGCACGGGCGCGAGCGCACGAATTTTCGAACATTCTGGTTGCGAAGCCATTGTTTTAATTTGTTTCCGGGACGCTCGATTCTGAATTCCTGATGAAGCCGACGGTTTGTGCAGGAGTTCGGCATGCGCGCGCGACGACGCGCGCGTGCACTCGTTCCGTTGTACGCAAGGGGTTCTTAACAGTTTATGTTTTTTATAGACATTTGGCAAAGGATGTGGGGGGTGGAATAAGCGTCTGCCTGGGGTGGTACGAACTCATGCGTTATATGTAAGTTGCATGACGAAGAGGTGAGACGTTAATTAAGTCCACTTTGGGGGGGGGGAGGTCGAGCCGAATACTCTTTTATAACCTGCGTGCAAGCCCAGTAGCCGCGGCGACGGACGGCGGTGACACACAAGCGCGGCGACCCCGCACCCAGGCCCAGTACATGGCGGCCGGACCGCCACCGCCGCCCAGACGACGGGCGGACACGAGGCTGCGACGGGGCGGCGACGGTGACCACATAGCAGCCAGACCGACGGGCAGGCCCAGAAGACGGGCGGCGACGAGGCGGCGACAGGGCGGCGACGGCGACCACATAGGCGCTATACTGGCGGGCAGGCGCAGTTCCTTAGAAAAGAATAAAGAACCCCGAAGTGCAAGCAATGTTTGGGGAATATCTATATATATATATATATATATATATATTGTAATCCTGAGCACAAAAAAGTTGCACTATCTTGGGGGCGCAAATGCTATTTCCGCAGGCTTTTGCCGGAGGAGCCGCTCCCGTTTGACTTCCGCCGCCTTCCGCTTGCCTTCCGCCGGCTTCCGCCAAAGAAGTCTACTTTCTTGACGTCGGCGCTGTTCGCAGGGCAGGAGCGGGGAACACGGGGGGTTGGGGCCCCTCTGGGGCCCAAGATCTTGCCCCAAAACAGGCGCGTTCCCTCGCAAAGCTGATTACGCCCCCCTGTGTGATTCCAATTTGTCGACATTTCGGTCGGCGCCCTCATGTGTAGACATACAGATAAATATACACACCAGGTCGCCCAACTTCGCGCCCTGCACCCCGCGATGCGCGATCACCTTTGCGCCATGGCGCCGCCCCCCTAGAATTAGGTCGGGAATGTCCTCCCACAGGCGGACTTTGGGCGCAAAATAAAAAAAGTCGCAACATATGCACAAAATACTCGAAAATAGTTTAAAGCAAAACGTCCCCATATTAATGTTTGACTATTTTTGAATTTTCCTCCTGTAGAGGGACAGGCCCGACGTCACCCTGGAAGAGGCCGCGTCTGTCGCCCAGACCACGACGTGCGAAGCGCGACTTCGCGCCCCCGGGGTTGACCCTGGGGATGCCGGGGATTCCTGGACACGCCCTCGCCTGCGAGGCTGTGAGAGATGGCTGACCTGAGCAGGAGGAGGAGGAGGAGGAGGAGGAGGAGCAGGAGGAGGAGGAGGAGGAGCAGGAGGAGGAGGAGCAGGAGAAGGAGGAGGAGGAGCAGGAGGAGGAGGAGGAGCAGGAGGAGGAGGAGGAGGAGGAGGACCTCGCGTCGGCTGGGGGCACGAGGGGCGGATCGCCCAGGGGGGCCAGGCACTGCATGTCTCCATCCGGGAGTCCAGTCGAAGACCAGAGACGACCGGCGCTCCTGCATCCACGTAGTGCTGCCCCCAGGGCTGTCGAGGGAGCAGACGCAGTACCAACGACAGGCCGCCGTGGGGTAGCCACCAGCGGGTTACTGATGAAGGACAGCAGTGCCCTCGGACAAGGCCGACGGAGTAATACGTTGACGGGCTCCTAGCGGCGGCATGCCACTGATAATCTTCCCCCCCGCGCCATACCCGCGCCTGCTGCAGCCGCCGATGGCAATCGAACGGACCGCGCACCTGGAGGGCCACTCTGGCGAAGGGCCACCTAGGCCATCTGACTTCGCGCATCTCGCCCAAACGATGCGAAGCGCGAGATCGGCTTTGCACCCTCGCGCCCTCGCGCTGCGGCACAGGAGGAAGAGGGAAGGCCAGGGGACGGGAGGACGAATCTAGACATCCGACGTCCAAGTTGTTTCAGCACGGACCCCCCGGCCACCCCGAAAATCGCGTCCCTTTCCCCCCGGCCGGCTTTTCTCGACTACAAAGGAGTTACGAGTTTGACTGAACGTCTTATGATCGCTGCTATGGTAGCACCACTCGCAACGATCGGCCACCCCACACGACACCGAAGCCCCGAGTAGCATGGCCTCTCGTCTGGTAGAGTCTTATAGTGTATGCTCGTCGCTGCAACGGCCCGCGTTGGGCGCTGCCGCTGGCCGGTGCGGCTGTGCGCTGCGACGGTGCCGCTCGCATCTGGGCGGGCAGCCCGAGCCGGTTTTGCGTGGCCCCTGGAACTGGCGAGGGCCCCTGGAGGCGGACGGCCCGGGACCTCCCGTCGTGACGCTCGCCGCGACGCGGAGGGGGGGTGAGATGCACACCCCGAATGGGTCCCTGGAGTGCTCCAGTTCTCCGAGGCTGCGTCCCGCCGTGGCGGAGAGGGCCCCCGAAGGCCAAGAAGCCTCGAGCCTCGGCCCTCGAGCCTCGAGGCTGGAGGTCGCGACTCTTGCCACGACACGAGGCGTGTCTGGCAAGGGCCGCCCCCTTCGCGCAGGCCGAGGACGTTCGGGGCCCCTAAAGCCGTGTGGTGACGGACCGCGCGCAGACCTCGGCTCGGAGGAGGAGGAGGAGGAGGAGGAGGAGGAGGACGACGACGACGACGACGACGACGACGACGACGACGACCTCGCGTCGGCCGCGACCTGTGGGCCGGCGGAGGAGGAGGAGGAGGAGGAGGAGGAGGAGGAGGAGGAGGAGGAGGAGGAGGAGGAGGAGGAGGAGGAGGAGGAGAGGAAGTAGTAGAGTACTGACGACGATTGACGAGGACTATCGACGAAAGTAGGTGTAGGAGATTAGAAGGATGATGATGATGAGAGGAGGAGGAGGACATCCAGTCCCGAGAAGCGTGGCGACCCCGAGTCCCCACCGACTCGCCGCGCGGTGTGGTCACCACACCGCTTGGGGGGGGCCCCCGAGGACGGGCCGCCCAGGCAGCAGCGGCGCCGCGAGCGCGGCCGCGGGCGGCCGCGGCCCGGACCGCGGTGGCCTCGGGCGCGCACATGCCCAGGCGGCCGCGGCGGCCGCCAGCAGGGCCACGCGCGGCCGTCGCCCGTCGGGCGGGGCCATGCTCCCCAGCAGGGCTCGACCTGAACAGCGGTTTCGGTCTTCGTCTTGTGCTCCTTCTTCCTCGTTCTGGTTTCGTCCGCCGCTGCTGCGTGACGTCAGCACAACGAGGGCTCATGGAGTCGCCCAAACGCCGTTCCGCTCGAGCCCTGCCCCTCAGGGTTACCTTTTGAGCCGTTTCGGCGCCTGGCCACGTTCGGCTGCCGAATGGACTCAGAATCGAGCCCGTTCGGTTGCCGAACGCCGAACGGGCCATGCTCCCGCCGCCGTCTGGGAGTTGAGCCCCTTTGGCTGCCCATTTGGCGGCCGAATGGGCTCAGACGCCGAACGGGCTCAGAGAGGACCCCTGGGGCCCTGCCCCGGTGCCCGAGCCCAGGCGGCCTCTGCGCCGAAACGGCTGCGGGCCCTGGCCTTCTGGGCGGGCTAAGAGATAGCTTCGCTGGTCATCTCTTGGACCTCTCTCCCGCCCCTGGTCGAGTTGCAAAAAGACTCGGCCAGCTGTGTTCCGCTTGCTCTGGTTCCAACTTCCTCTTGCGGGAATCGCCGCGTCACTGGCGGACTGCCCCCCACGAGGGGGGGAAGTTTTGGTCGGCTCTCGGGGGGGGGCTTCCTGGCCTCGGGGTGCTTTCTCCAGCAGCTGCGCCTCTGCGAGGGGTGGCCGCATCGTTCCGGGGGTGGCCGCATCGTTCCGAACGGGAGGCCCGTCCCTCCAGCGCGAGGATCAAGGGCGCCACCCCCGCCGTGGCATCAAGGGATCGGCGCCCTCCGACACCACACACACATACATACATACATACATACATACATACATACAGACAGACAGACAGACAGACAGACAGACAGACAGACAGACAGACAGACAGACAGACAGACAGACAGACAGGCAGACAGACAGACAGACAGACAGACAGACAGACATGCATGCATGCATGCTTACATACATACATACATACACATGCGTGCTTGGTGGCCTTGATGTGCGGGCTGGCCCGTTGTTTGTGGGTCCACGCCGCCAGAACTCAGAACCTGCAAGGCGCCGTTGCTGCTGGCCAGACGCACCTCGCAGCACCTGCATGGTCCACGCACTCAGTGGAGACCCGGTGCGCAACCGTAGGCGTGGCGGATACACTGCGGCGGCAAAGCAAGGCGGACATCGCCATACATTGAGCTAGAACAGGAGTGCGGAAATTCTTTCTCACGCGGCCTGCCTTCCCCTCG